ACAGAGTGGCATACCTTTGATTGTAGAAGTCTGGAGAATAAGGCTTTCAACTCTGTCTCCTGACCGTTCGTATTTGTGCAATTTCCTGAATCTCTCTGAACATCTCAGAAAATGATGATTCAAATCTTGAATCACAGCTCGTCATTGTCATCAGTAACAATATTGCCATAAACTGACAACAGTATGCATGCTTTCTATGGATGTTACACTTGATGGCAACTGTTTAGGTGTGGCTCGCTGTGGCATTGAAGCGTTTGTTCAATAGAAGAGCATGCCATACGGGTTCTGATCTTTGCCCACGTTTTTGTTTGGCCTCATATGCGTTGAGCGTCCAGTCTTTTAAGGTGTCACAAAACAGCAACATAACAGATACGAGGCCAACATCGAAGGTCTATTGTGAGTCTTGAAAATTAAATTTGCTTATACACTGCTCCCATAAACAAGTTACCCATGTTTAACCGCGCCAAAACTAGTTTGATCTTGGAGTGCCGATGATCCTTTGAGAGGACTTGGAAGCCGCTGACCTGGTTGTAACCTCTCTTATTTTCAACAGAATAAGCAAAAGACTTTCTAGAGAGACAAGGTAAGTGTTGTTGCTGGCTAGGTGTCTAGCAGCATTGTTAGATTCCAACCGATGCTGGACATTCCAAACCAGAAACTAATACGATTTGGCCCTGGGTTCCTTTTACGATCAGCCGACCAGAGTTTGTGAGCCTTCTTTGGAGGTAGGGGAATAAAGCTACGCATTGATACCTGTGTGTGTGGTGCTTTTGTACAGTCACTTTTACAGACCAGGAGAAGACCGGAGAATTTTGAATGCCGTTTATTTAGATACCACGGTGAGATTATGCGTAAGCTTTGATTTATGCGTTTTAATGCATGGAAATCCAACTTGGCTTTAGAAATCCTCGGGGTATGCAAATAAAAAAGGCTTAGAACGGACTCCAAGATGATGTCATATTGTTGTCACTCATATCTATGATGGAAGACTAAGGTCCAACTACAGAACGACTCCATCAAATTGGCTAGCTAATTCTCAATTATCACAAATCTTCAAAACCATAGTTGGGACACATCTACAGCAGTTTAGGCGAGGTACCATTTGCTCCTTTCCTATAAGTATCGCATGAACAAAAGAATATCACTGCTGAGGCATTAAGCGGATTTGCTGTATTTTTCAAAATTTCCTACGCTACGCTCACCCCTGCCACGTATGTTTGTCTATGGTAATGTTTTTACTTGAGATAAATTTGAATGCAAAGAATGCCAATAAAGACGTAGAGATTTGTTTCATTCGGCTCTAGAGTGAATGGAGGAACTTCGCACATTCTGAAGTAATACGCTCATCGAGCGTTTGCGTTACAAGTGGATTTTAGTATGCATTAGTAATTAATCTGGAGAAAATTTGGGCGACGTACCTCAAGAATGAAGTAGCGCCAGAAAATTCACGGTCTTGGTTCCACTTAAACTTTGACCGCCAAATCCTCCTTGATGCAATGGCATAATTAATGAGTCTGCTACTGACAGGTTTGTGTCAATTCTGTTGTTCTTACCATAAAACTGAAGCTTGATATACATCTTTGTACTCCATCAATCGGAGATTTATTTCTGAAGCATTAGCGGCTTACTTGGTATAGTAAGCAATTATGTTATCTTCAGATATCAGAAAAGACGGTTTTTGTGTGGTCTTTTGTTAGACAGTAGTTCACAAGTTTTAGTAGTTTAGTAGCAGAATATGAGGGTTCTCCTTCGGGTAAGAACTGCTTAATGTCCAATGGTAATAAATGTGTCATTCAAAACAATTTGACGGCAGCATCCAGACCTTAGAAGGTTGTACTTAGTTTTGTGAAAAACTAGTCGAATCCACGTTTTTAACAAACGCTTTTGAGCTATTACCTTGTTCCCACTAATTTCTTGGATAATCATTCCACCAGAATTTGGAACAAAGGACGGTAAATATTGAGCACTACTAATTCATTTTACAGGCAGTTTGTGCATTACCCTTCCATCTAGGCTGTCGTAGCGCCTACTGCGCAGTGTTCGGGGTCTGATAATTAGACAAACAATAATTTATTTGTGCAAATTTTACACTGTGCGCAAATAACTGAAATTGCAGTGAGTCGGATTGACTCAGAGTTTAGTGCGTGTCGGCACGAAATTTCGTTTCCACAAGTAACCATTCACTGCGTTTACGCGGCCCATGGCAAAAATATATAGTGGATCATTTTAATGAAGTGATATATTAGTTCAAGCCAACCAAAATAATCTTATGCCTTTTTGAGTCATTGGTTGATGGCGCTGTTGGGGCTTGGCCATTCTCTGAGCACAGAAGCACATCGACAGGGACTCAGTATAAAACGATCCTGTCTTAATGCTTATCCAATGCAGCATATGTAATCGCAGGGTTGTAGTGTGCAACTCCCGAAAACATCGATATGGGTACAAGAACGCTTAATCTGAGGCCGTAACACTTGGTTTGTGTGTGGCGTGATTCTTGTGGCGTCCTTTGAACAACTTGAACTCTTACCTCGAATAGTACATAGCAGTTGATGCGTGCCACACTGTACTCACGGTCAACTTAAAAATTTCTTTCGTTTAACCGATTGCGGTTTAGTTGTGCTCCAGCGGTCAAGCTAGTTGCCCGTCTAGCACAAAGCAACTGCTAAGAAACTAATATCCAGCAAAAAGCACATATCTAGATGATACGAAAAAAACAGAGGCCAATCCGTTCGAGGGGAAACATTTTCTTCTTGTCGGTAAAGAATGCTAATAATCCAAAAAACATCATAACCTTGCAGTTTTGCTGCAGTCATCTTCCTTCTGTCGGACGTTGCATATCGACAAAGTTTATAACCCCTAACATTTGCAATTTTGGTGTTCTTTACTTGGCGTCATCCATACTTTCGATGACCCGAATCTTATTTACAGGATTCTCGGTTGAAGCGCACACTGTGCATTATCTGAACCCATATTTTATTCAAGTTTATGTATACTCATGGTTAACTCGTCAAAGCACCAGTATTTCTGCTTGCCATCCCTTCCTTAATTTGACTATATCCAGTTTTATGGTAACACTCCTATCCTGTTTGCCATTCTCAGCCATGAGCTTCTACAGAATGTGTGTTTCAACTTGACACGCACCAATCTTCTCACTCTATTCGTTGATCAAATTAATTAAATCATATCATATTCAAATTCGGATAGTTCATATGCACACCGGTCGATTTGCGTTTGCTTTCCACACTCGTCCCTGCTGGAACGCGCTGCTTGATCAGCAGTCACATTAGTGACATGAATAGATGATATCAGGTTTCAGCAGTGTGGGCTAAGCCAACTTGCGTAAAACTTACGTGTATTATGGCATTGCTGCCATGGAACTAGCGACGCATATCCATGAATGTTGCACTCGCACGGTTGTGAATGCTGGATATATCCAAATCTCGCACGGCTTTTAGAGTACGTTTTGTATATCTATCTTCCTAACTGAAAGTGGGCATTGCTAGAGATAGTCAAATCCGCTGGGAGTATACCAAATAACCATCAACCCAAGCAGTCCTCTGATTGCATTGCTTTTGCTCCACGCACCTGCTGAGAGTAATATCCGACCTCTTTATCGAAGATTTCAATTCGATGGTCAACCATCAAACCGTATAGGTAGGCAGTGGGTGATTTAAGCGCCTTCTCGTCCATTCTAGTCATCGTTCCTGTAATAGTGCGGAAACAACTCTTGTGATTCAAAGTGAGCTTGTCCCAAAAATAAACAAGATGAGAAACCGTGCTGTTGTTTGCCATACACAAACTACACGAAATTCCGGGCTCCATAAAATCATAAAATCATCATTTTTGGTATTGGAAGAGTAGCAATAACAGGCGAACCAAACGGTTGTGTATCCAAAGTGCAAAATATGCTGAGCGAAAATACGGGCAAGCTCTTTGGTAGCACCGGTATATTTTTTGTACTTATAGCATGTAATCTATGCTCATTTTACGGTAGAATATACTGATCGATGTCCAAAGCATGTTAAGCATACATTTTGACGTAGGTCTTTACATGCAGGGAGGGGTTGATGCCCTCCGTAAGGCAATGAAGCATCAGTGTCAAGACTGGTGTTGCTGTCCTTGATGATGATGGTAATGATGGGTAGCCTCCCGGCAGACGCATTGCACTATTGCTTTCAAATTTGTCTACTAGTGAGTAGTATGGTTTTCGACGACTTACTGCTAAGCAAGGACATTGATCTGTCACCCATCTTTTCAGCACTCGTCACCTTTTTTCTCTCGCGGATCTTCTCTGCCATCTGACCGACGATTTCTTAAGGATCGGTTTTCTCGTGTGGTAAGCGGGAATAATTTATACGGAAGATCGCTCGATCACTCTCACATCAGCTCAAAGTGGTCCCGATTTCCCGAGCGAGAGAACAGTGGATCACGTGTGGGAGCAGTCTATCCTTGGCCACCAAATAAAGCCGGTACGAAAGACTCGAGCCATATAGTTTATCGTTGCACTATTTTTGCGCTTTGGCTTCCATATTTTATCCTGCACGTACTGGCTTTCCAAGACAATGCATTTTTTACTTGACACAAGCCGGCACAAAATAGGTCACATGCTGCTCCGGCAGGAGGTATTAAGTGAGGGGCGATACTATGCAAAATAAGTTTAGGTACACCTTGGGCTGTATAAAACTCAATCGGCTTTTTTGTGACAGGAAAAAAGCTTACCTGAGGATGATGTTTGCAGTTTGCGTCGCGGTCAAGGGCGTGATGGAGGTTTCTTTGAATATTCAAAAGTTCCAAGGAGGACTTTAGTAATAAGCGCCATCAAACACATCTGTGGTCGTTTTGAAGCACCCATTTGAGCTTACATGTTTAATGCAGGTAGCCATCTGGAGTCTTTTCTTTCTTGCTTGGAATTTTGTCGATCCAAACTGGAATCCAAACCGCTCGAATCACACCGGGTTGTGAAGGGAAATAGCCAACGCTCTCGACGAGGAAACCGGATAGCCTCACGCTTGGAATAGAACAAAGAGCTGCATATTTCCGGTATGTATCACACAGCTGAATGATTTGCCGAACCTTTCTTGAACCAATGGAGACTCTCCTTGCGATGTCTGGGCAGACGGCTAGTAGCCTGGGCTCGGCTCATAGCAAGTTGTTTCTAGCAATCTGGATGCATTACGCTATTTCTGCTACTAACGTATGCCCCAGAAATGAAGACATATATTGAAACGGTATAAATCCTATTATTTATGCGTGATGCTCATTTCACATGCCGATTTTCCATCCCACGGTGTACTTATTTTCTGCCCCATTTATTTGCAGGGGATAGAGTATCAGAACACCTACGTGTGGAGTCACCGATGTCCTTGGTGGGGACTGAGTTAGACAGAAGACCACCTACGAACCTACCGACGGGCATATCGATGGCTTTTGGACGAGCTGCTCCAGGATATTATGCACCCCGATACCCAAGTCTGTTGTGGCCTACTCTGTCCTGTTTGATTTCATTGTTCAATTTCTCTGCCAACCTAAACGGAAGAGTTCGTATCTCAAAATGAAGGGCCTGACCAGGCAATTGTATTTCGAGGAACGATTCCCATTTCCTCCGGCTGTTTCCCCCGAAGCCCTATGTGGCGCCTTACAAAAATGAATAATTCTTTCCAACGAAACTTCCCTCTAGTGGTCCACACAAACGATTCACAGTAAAGTTTCCTTGCTGATAAAAGCAGCATTTCTGGTGATTACCAATTCACTCGACAATTTTGTTGTGCCGCAACACAACAGCAGTCGCCCGTTATTTCCGCTGTATTGGTATTTTTCAGTCATCCATTGAGTCGGTGGTATGCTAGTCCTCTAGACATTCCCTGTCCCAGTGTCCTTCATTCTACTGTAGAGTATTATTCAAACATACGGATCATGAGGTAATGGAGCGCAAATGTTCTTCGGTGTTGCTGTCATTTGTGACGTTAGTGACGATGATGACGGCAAATAGGATGATTGTGTCTACATGACAGCACCGGGAAGCACCAAGCTTTTCCACTGACGCAGGTTCCATAACAAGTGTATTGCCATAAGCGCTACAGCTTTCTGCCCTGTAGATGTATTGATGTGTCATTTCCGCTTGAATCAACTGGTTGATTTTGGAAGGTCAATAGAATTCTCTCCCATCCATATGGTCATTTAGGGTGATACATACGATTACCTCCTCTCTCAATCGGGCTGCTGTATGCTTTATCGGAGTCAAATAGCTTGACAAGAACTGGCTTAATACCAGGATGAATAATTGGAAATGACTCATATATCTGTGATGACACTTTGTCGTAGCGAAAAACGCGCGTAACTCCACGTAAAACCGGCGTCTTAGGCAAGTCAGCTGATTTGCTGTTTGTGGATGTGCTTCGGATTCTCGGTCCTCCGAATCACTCCCAATGGTGACCCGACCAGCTACACTTCACCAGATGGAGTGCAACATATCCAAACTCACCAACTTAGGGTCGGACATTTAATGGTGTGATTCTCTGTCCAACCCGCTGTCGGCCAAATCAGACAGTCTGACTACCGATGAACAGTCAGACTGTTCATCTACTAGGTATCGATCCTCGTGGAAAATTGATAACTGGCAGACCATGAACTTGACAAGAAAGTCCAGTCTACAGTAATGGATGAATTTGTCTAGACTACGTATGATCATTTCCATTAGTAGTGTTCCCAGTCGGCTGGATAGGCTCTATGAAATTCCATTCAACATGGCTTATTGTTAGCTTTCATCCCGTATTTCTGAGATTACTCATCATTGTCCAGCCAGCGCTTTCCCCCGTGGGTTTAATTAACTCGTTTCAATATGAAAGGCACCTGTTCCAACGGTAAGGCGCGGTATACAACACAGATTTCATAAACAATTCTAGGTTCTCGATTGCCTAATTTATGTTCTGGTTTTTCTTCAGATCGGGAAACCTGCTTTGGTTCAAATGTCCGACGTGTGCGCGATCCAAATTTCCTATATAGTCTGTCGGAGCGTACACTAGAGCAGTATGAGATGTGTGACCAATATCGGAGAAAGCACCTTTCCGAATTGCCGGAGACGACCGAGTATCAGGATCGATTTTTGGCACATATACCGACAGAGAAAAAGAGAACCCTCTATAGAGACTACTATCCAGGAGAGAAGAAATACGAAAAGTGCTAACCTGTGTACGCAGAGATAACTTTATTTTAGTAGTGCCCTCGTTGTCTTGGACAGAAAGGACGTATATGCGTAATATGAAGCACGATGGTCTTAGAAATACATCCTTTTCTTCTTGCGGCTCCTTGTGTTTTGCACGCCTGAAGAAGATGGGAAGCGTTCAATGCTGGGATCATTCGCAAATAGAATTAATATACACTTATGTCACCTGCGTATTGTTTGAAAGTGATAGCCTTACTCCTGTTACTGCGGCCTGTACTGCCACTACCGCTGAAGATGATGGGATAGTCAAGCTGACAATCATACTGGTGGCGAGAATAATGTTGAAACGAACGTGATGGTCAATTCTCAGT